GAAAGCATCCTTTCAGAAACTAGGAAAATAACAATTTTCTTTCCCTGGAATAGAGACCAAACTCCATCTCCAACTAGTATCGGCCTTACAAGCCGAGAAAATGTTGAGAAAAAAAACATTTCAAGGGTTTCTAGTTAATATCTTAGGAGAAAAATCGGCAACGATAAAGATTGAGGATGTCCCAGTAGTACAAGAATTTATAGATGTGTTTACAGAAGATCTACCTGGTATTCCACCAAATAGACAAGTGGAATTCACAATAGAATAAGTTTCTAGAGCGGCACCAGTATCTAAAGCTCCATACAGAATAGCTCCAAACGAACTTTCGGAGTTAAAAATTTAACTACAAGAATTGTCAGACTGTGACTTTATTCGACCAAGTGTATCCCCATGGGGCGCACCAGTGTTGTTCGTAAAAAAAAAAAAAAAAAATTGAAGTATGAGAATGTGTATCGACTATTGGGAGTTGAACCATTTGGCCATCAAGAATAGGTATCCTCTCCCGAGAATCGAGGATTTGTTTGATCAATTGAAAGGGGCTAAGGTATTTTCTAAGATCGATTTATGATCTGGATATCATCAATTGAAGGCTAAGGTGAGTGATATACCTAAAACAGCTTTCAGAGCTCGTTATGGATATTACGAGTTTACAGTTATGCCGTTTCGATTGACAAATGCTCTGACAGTGTTTATTGATCTAACGAATCATGTATATCATCAGTATTTAGATCAATTTTTCATAGTCTTCATTGACAACATTTTGATATATTCTAACAGTAAAGATCAACATGAGGAACATCTTAGAATAGTTCTCAAAATATTGCGCAAGCAAAAGTTATGCGTCAAACTTAAAAAGTGTAATTTTGGCTTGAGCAAGTTGGATTCCTCGATCATGTAGTTACTGCCTGAGAAATTGAAGTAGATCCAGTAAAGGTGGAAACAGTAACTAATTGAAAGATACCAACTAATGCTAGTGAAGTTCAAAGTTTTCTAGGATTAGCTGTGTACTAACGAAGATTTATAGAAAGATTCTCCAAAATAGATGGGTCAATGACGCAATTGACAAGGAAAAGAGTAAAGTTTTAATGTATAGATAAGTGTGAGCAAAGTTTTCAGGAGCTAAAGCAACGATTAGTTACATCACCCGTGTTAACCATACATGAAGGCTCGAAAGGGTTTGTTATATATAGTGATGAATCTAAGCAAGGTTTGGGGATGTGTATTGATGCAATGTGGAAAAGTGATTACCTATGCATCAAGACAATCAAAACAACATGAGCAGAACTACCCAACGCATGATCTAGAACTTGCGGCGGTAGTTCATGCATTAAAAATATGGCCCCATTACCTATATGGAGGAAAGTGCGATATTTACACGGATCATAAGAGTCTCAAATATTTCTTTACACAGAAGGAATTGACTATGAGATAGAGACGATGGTTGGAGCTAGTAAATGATTATGATTGCACTATACATTACCATCCTGGTAAGGCTAATGTTGTTATCGATGCTCTAAATAGGAAGTCGATGGGACAGCCGGCATCATTACCTACTACTCAGATGGAGTTAATCAAAGACTTGAAAAATTTGCGAATCGAAGGGATTACCACACAAGAACAAGTCACCACTCGTTTAACAACTTTGGTGGTTCAACATACTCTTAGAGATCGGATCATAGATACCAGGGTAAAGACCCATTCTTGCAAAAGATCAAGAACGAGATTGGTACAAATAAGAGAAAGGATTTTGAAATAGCTTCTTATCAGTACTAATGTTTAAAGGAAGAATTTGTGTACCTAAGGATGAAGTTTTGAGGGAAGAGATATTGGAGAAGGCTCATTCCACCCTGTACACCGCACATCCTAGTGGTACAAAAATGTATCGAGACCTCGAGATATATTTTGGTGGAGGGATGTGAAAGGAAGTATAGAATCATTTATGGCAAAATGCATAGTATGCCAACAAGTTAAAGCAGAACATCAAAGTTCGACAAGGTTATTAAATCCATTAGACATACCTGAATGAAACTGTGAGAATATCGCCATGGACTTTGTGGTAGGATTTTCAAAGTCAGCAAGAGGACACAATGCTATATGGGTAATAATGGATCATTTAACAAAGATCGCTCATTTTCTTCCAGTAAAAATGACATTTAGTAAAGATCAGCTAGCGCGGTTGTAAATTAGAGAGATTGTAAGATTGCATGGTGTTCCCGTTTCCATTGTGTCTGATAAGGATCCGAGATTTACGTCAAAGTTTTGGAAAAGCTTACAAGGAGCTATGGGAACGAAATTGAATTTCAGTACGGCGTATCACCCTTAATCAGATTGTCAATCTGAAATGACCATTCAAATTTTGGAAGATATGTCAAGGGCCTGTGTTCTAGATCTAAGAGGTAGTTGGTAATCGTATCCACCTTTAGTGGAATTTGCATATAATAACAGTTTCTAAGCAATTATTGAAATGACATCGTATGAAGCTCTCTATTGTAGAAGATACAGATCACCTGTTCATGAGGATGAATTTGGAGAAAAAGAGTTTTGGGACCAGAGATCATTGAAAGAACAGTTGAAGTCATTGATAAGATCCGTACCAGGATAAAGATCGTGCAAGATAAACAAAAAGGCTATGCAGATACTAAGAGAAAAGATTTGGAATTTGAAGTTGGAGCGAGTTTTTCTAAAGGTGGCACCAATAAAGGGTATACTTAGATTCTGCAAGAAAGGCAAACTACAACCTTGTTATATCAGATCTAATAAGTGATGGAAAAGTCGGGAAAGTGGCTTATCGACTGGCTTTGCCGCTTGAAATATCAGCTGTTGACAATGTGTTTCATATATTAATGATACGAATGCATATGCTCCTGATCACGTGGTCAATTATCAATCATTGGAAGTACAAAAAGACTTATCTTATGAGGAATTATCGATTAAGATACTGGATCGAAAGGTACATAAAGTAAGGGACAAGGAGATTCAATTGGTTAAAGTGCAATGGAATAATCATGGAGTAGAAGAAACTACTTCAGAAAGAGAAGAAGAAGTCAAAGACAAATATCCGACACTCTCTGCCAATCCATAACGTAAATTTCGAGGACGAAATTTTGTATAAGGTGTGAGGAATGTAGAAGCCCGAGAAATAAAATGAAATTAGGCTATTATTTTGTGACGATCTTGCACCATGAGCCTAGCCCATTTAAGAAACGAGTTATGAAAGTTCAACCCATTTAAAATTATGAAAGCCCAAGCCATAAGTTAATTAAAAATCAAACAATTTAAGAGATTAATTTTAAGTAAATTTGATTACAAAGACTTAATGAATAATTGGGTTGTTTCAATAGTCATCTACATGGTATTTCATAGAGGCAACCAAGTTCGAATCACCATGTAGATTTTTTATAAAACCTTTTATATGAATTATTTTTTTACGGCTTAGAAACTCTTTAAATTCTTAGTTAAAGACCAAATTTAACAAATTTAATGAATATACAATCCCCCATTTAATTTTTCATTAAAAAGAAAGGTTGCAAGAAGAGGAATCACTTTTTCATTACACCTCTCATCAAATCCGAATTTGCTCTTATTTTCTCTCAAATATACTTCATGTCAAGTTAAGCCTAAGGATTAGTAAGGGTGTGAAGAAGAAATATTCTTTATACATTTGGTTATTTTATATCCAAGAAAATTCAAGATGAGTAGAGGTGCAAGTGTTTATTTCATTTTCAAATTATGATTTTTCGATAAATGCCTGAAAGAAATTGTACCTCCGGGTACGGTACTTTGGCACTACGACAGTTTGAATGATCATTTTCTGGCTCTACGTGTTATGATAATGCTATAGTAATTGGATTTTATCGAAAATCCATCTACGTGCGACGATATGAATTTAAAGTTCGAAATTTCTAATTTTATAGCGAAATGCACCGATGATTTCTAATGAGTTTCAAACTCATGGGTTAACTCCCTTCCTACAGGTTGAATGGATTTTCCTTGAAGTGTGGATGATAGTAAATGATGATGCGACATGCCATGGAGAAAGCCAATAACTTGAAAATTTTAATTAAATCATGAAATGTTTATGTTTATTATTATTATTATTTTTTTTGAATTTCTATGGACGTCATATGGAACTCTTCTAAGAATATTTCTTTATGAATAAATTATGTTTGAAAGTAGATATGTGTCATAGAAATAAATTTACAAATCACCGTTTACAAAAAATGTTAGTGATTTAAAGTTTTGCCGTCTCTTCAAAAATTTCAATTTTGGCTTCGTTTTAAAAAATTTAAAACTCTTTCGTTACTTGGCATATTTATACAAAGCTAGTAGTGTTGAATAGCCTCATAAGTTAATTACTGAATAAACTTGGAATCATGTTAATCCAATGTCGATGAGATTTTATGTCACTTAAGGTAAACTGCACTAGCTAGTGTTGTTGCTTTCCAGTTTCTAAAGGACTTCAAAATTCATAACTCGATCGTTACTTAGAATTTCTGGACGAACCCAATTGGATTTAATAGTATCTTGGATTAGCTATTGAATAAATTTGAAATCATGTGATTTTGATGTTTGTGAAATTTTATATGTAATTTTAAATGAATTGCACCAATTTACCTTTCAATCGAGTCGCTGCTAGGTTTTGAAAAATATTTTAATATATGATGCCGATAGAAACTAATTTTTTTGATAATGTTATATTATAAGGAATTTTCTACTTTACATTAAAATTTGGTGAAGTTTCGAGGCCGATACCAAAAATTTCACGTCAATAATCGTTACATAATACATGCATGGAACCCATTCTAAAATATTTTTGAAATTGTTTTCTTTTAGTATTGAATTATTTATAATAATAATTAAAAAAAAAAGAACAACATTCTTGAATTAAATTCTAAAATTTAATTTTTATACCTTCCAATAAAAATATAGTTAATTAATTTACAGCTAAAGTACAGTTAATTTAGTGACGTTTCGATCCATATGGGTCGGGACATTACAGAGAGTATCAAGGAAACAGATGGATTTTGTATCACCAAAAGTAATAAAATGATACCCTTTTCAAGAAATATCCTCTGCTAACAATCGGATCGAAGGATGTAACCCAAAAAATGTCCTCCATATGTAGTAGTGTAAGCACTAAAGGCCTATTACTAATTGACAGATACATTCCATATAAACATACAGCCAATCCAATATGATTATTCATAGAAAACATAATGGAGCATTGATGCATATCAGAGCATGCTGTTCAATGAATACAGACGAAAGGGACTTACTTAAGGATGCATGACATCACACACCGAATCCAATGATCATAATCCTCTGAGTTGACCCTGCAGCAATGCTTGTTTTGATCTGCTCAAGTCCAAAAGCTTGTATCCATTGTCACTGGATTTTGCTAACCAGTGCAATTTCGCCATGCTGCTCAAATAACTTTGAAATTTCATTTTGCTAATCCATATCAAAATCCAAGTACATTCTATAGGCATTCCGATCTGAAGAGTAGTAACCGTCTATCAGACTATCCACCTGAAAGCCAAGTTTCTTGTAAAGACTCATAGCTGGGCTTCTAGAGGGATCTACATGAAGTGATATGCGGTGAACATTTCTAGTCCTGCATTTCTGTATAGCTGCGTTAAGCAATGCTTCGCCATGGCCTCTTCTTCTATGGTTCTCTTTGACTGAATTAAGACAAGTAATGCCATCAGGTAAAAAGTCAAGTTCTACATTGCAATTTCAGAACATTCAACCACATCTGATGATTAGCAGGTTCTTCTGACCAACCTAAGAATGACAAGGAAAATTACAGGAAATATACCACTCATCAAACTATACCGCATTTCATAGTGTGTGACTAAGTTGGACAATTAGGAGCATTGCCACTGGAGATTGATCGAATACCCAAATGAGCTAAAGCTCGAGCCAGAGAACTAGTAAAGTTTTATTAGGTCTAGAGTGCATGTTCATCAAATAGAGGCTAACCACTTGTATTTATAGTCATAGAACTTACTCAGAAGCAGAATTTTATTTGCAATCGGTCTAGAGTCCTTCGAAAACTAAGTTGTGTAAAGCTTATAAAATAAAGGTGCACACTGGCTTCTCCTTTATTAGATAACCTTCTGCTTACAAGTTAGACAGATATTCTGGAAACAAGAACTACAATATATGTTGGTGATGTCAGGTTGGCACTGTTGAGTTAAGCACTTGGTGTGCTATAATAGGTTTCGTCCACTGCCTCTAGGATAGGTTTCACTTCAGGTCAGATTTCTAGACCCATCCTTATAAGCAACCGACGAAAACCTGATTATTCTATCAGACCAGTAGTAATGGTCATTGGTCTCCCACCATCTGACAACACTATCATGCTCGATGGTTTGGTTATTCAATTGTGCAGGTTGTTCTTTAAGGACTCGTCGTATTCTTGTTTGAATGCTACCAAGCATTCAAAGTGTCTTGCAAGCCTCAACACCAATAAATTGCACCAGGATATTGATAGACCCTCGATCATCTTTTCATATGCAAGAAGAAATAAGAGGGACAATGGGCTTAACAAAGAGGCAGTCCGGGCAGATGAGTGACCATGGGGCTGCAGCAATCTGTCGCTATTTTTCAGGGAAAAGGGTAGGGACATGGCAATAAATATAGGCATTTTATCGCTGGGTATGCAAAAATTGCTTGGCCGCTGACAGAATTACTTAAAAAGAATGGGTTTAGTTGGAGTGAAGCGGCTGGGACAGCTTTCGGTAATCTAAAAAGGGCCGGGACGGAGGTTCCAATACTTGCTTTGCCTGATTTCTTGCACGAGTTTGTGGTTGAGACCGATGCCTCAGGACATGGTTTGGGAGCGGTACTGATGCAGCAGAGGCATCTGATTGCTTCAACCAAATATTGCCAATAAGTGCACGGTGCAAGTCAATTATGAGCGAGAATTCATGGCTACCGTGTTCAACATACCATTACTTATTGGAGAGGCACTTTATTGTGCGCACAGATCAGCGAAGCCCAAAGTTCCTTCTTGAACATCTTGTTATGTTAGCGACGAACATTTGAAATGGTTGACCGAACTCTTAGGAAGTTTGAAATTCAATACCACCTCGGCCTTGAGAACAAGGCTGCAGATGCTCAGTCAAGAATGGTTCCAATGGTTAGTTTCTTCGCTGTCTCTCTTCCTAGTGTGCTGCAAACAGAGGACATAACGCAGGCAGTGGCTGCAGACATTGACATGCAGGAGATAATTGCAGGGTTACAAACAGGACAGGGGGCCAAGTTTGGTTAATCGTTGTTGGAAGGGATGTTTTATTATAAGGGCAGATTGGTGTTAAGAATTTCACAACACTGGAGTCCGCCATTCGGGTTTTTTTAAGACGTACAAAAGGGTAGCATAGTAGGTGTATTGGAATGGCGTGAAGAAGGAAGTTAGAGATTTGTTGCCTGCTGCAGAGTGTGCCAGCAAAATAAATACATGGCGTTATCACCCCAAGGTCTCCTAAAACCATTGCCTACACCGGACCATGTTTGAACTGACATATCGTTAGACTTCATTAAGGGGCTGCCAAAGTCAGAGGGGTGGAACACTATCCTGGTAGTAGTTGATAGGCCAAGTGTGGTCACTTCATCAGGTTGAAACATCCTTTTAATTCGCTTCAGGTGGCCAATGTTTTTAATCAAGAGGTTGTCCACCTGCACAGCATAAGCCAGTCAATGTGTCTGACACGGACCTGATCTTCATGAGTAAATTTTGGGAAGAACTTTTCAAGACACAGGGAACTACCCTTAAAAGGAGCATTGCATACCACTGATGGAGTATTATAAGGGATTTTATTTATTTAGTTTCTAATTTTAAATTGTTTTTTAGGAAATATTATTATGGTTTGATTTATTAGCTTTTATAATACTTTCTTACTTTGAATAATGTCCTTTGAAACCCTATATAAAGGGAGTTATGTGATGTAATCAAGACAACCTTGAATGGATAAAAAGTGATATATTTCTTCTCCAATTCTTCTCTATTCTCTTCTCTTCTTCCTCTTCTAGTTTTCCCTCCTTTCTCTTCTTTTCCTCCCTTTCCCCTTCTACAGTTCTCCCATAGCAACCAATATCAACCATCCACAAACGGATGGCTAAATGGAGGTGGTCAATCGATGCTTATAGACATACTTAAGATGCTTCGCCACAAGCAAACTACGGACATGGAGTCAATGGTTACCATGGGCTGAGTTTTGGTACATCACTTCATTTCACACCGCCACAAAAAATGCTCCTTTCCACACTGTTTATGTAACGCCACAAATTTTACTACTAGTTAAGATTTAAATTTAGGACTTAAGTGCGCTATTATTAAAATTTAACGATTTTATTGATTATTGGTATAGTCTAATGACCTTATTAGTTATTGATCAATAGTTTGAGGGCCCAAGTAGAAAGTTATTTTTCGAAGTTAGATGAAATCATGCATAAAACATATGTAAATATGCCAACTGATCTCAATTAAAGATGATTTATTGACCACATGTATTATTCACATCACATTTTAAGCCAATGTAATTATTTGACCACGTAAATAAAAAAAATTGGTTTAACCATGTGCATTATTTACGCCAAGCTTTAACCTAACTGAATTGATTTGACCACATGACTAAAGGTATTGATTTGACATTTTCATGACAATACACCATTTATGCATTGATCATGCCAAACATCTAGTAACTTCCTTTCACTTTTTTACACATGATCAAGAATTTTTACTATAAATAGGAGAAAAGACCCAACACTAAACTATCCCTCAAAAACTATTTACACACTCTCCCTCTCTACCTCTATAACTTTGTGTCTCCACTTTCTCTCGCTTGTCATTTTCATATTAAATTTAGTCGTACACTTATACAATCACACGTAAATAATCAACCCTAAAACGGCTCAAGGATCTCTTTCCAACAATAAATCATTTTATCATTTTGAATTGTCCAATGAAAAGGTAAGTTCTACTTTATGTTTAAGGTGGCTAATGTATATGCATATAATATTTCTACGGCTATATTATGTTTGGTCCATGTTACGTATATTTTATTAAGAATGGACTGGAATTTAGTAGCGCTATGCACGAGAATTTAGTATCATATAAGTTCAGTCTATTTTTCGTACCTCCATATGCAAGTTATGAATTTTTCGTAGAAATACAAATATGAATTCATTATCCACGCATGCTTATTGAGAATTATTCTCACGCAATTATGTCTCTACTTTTCAAATAATTGACAATTCGAGACGCTCAACAAAGAGATGGCTTATGGTGGCAAAATTTCAATAATAAAATTATTATGTTGTCAAACTATTATTATTTCATTTAATTTTAAATATTTTAAGATATTTCTCATCTTATGTTAATTTATTAAACTTATTACATTATTTGAATTTTGGTAAGTACTTTAATAATTTATATGATTGTGTTTAATATTCTTTAAATTAGTTTTAGTTTATGATTTAGTGACACTCGAATCATAAAGAAAAGCTTGAGATTTAAGGGGTTCACTTGTGACCCCCTCCTCCCCTTGAAGGCTTTTAGTTGAGCGTTACTCAAATCTTTTAACAAATCCTCAAGAATATGATTGTCATGGAAAAAAGGAATTACATCCTTGATTTGATCCCAAAATTGATTAGTTGTGTATAGACTAATTCCTTTCCTAATTTAATTGCTTAAATTCCGGCCATTAGGGCCTGCTATCACGGGGGAAAGATTATTGCCCATTTCTATGTATAGAATTAGTTTCCTAAATTAGTGATCATTGTAATCTATAAATTATACATTTTTATTAGAGAAATACAGTTAGAAATCATATTCTTATTCATCTATATGGTATCTGTAACGCTTCGAAAATTTTAGAATAAAAATGTATTTGTTTTATATGTTACATTTTTATATTTTGAAAAAAAAAAACGAGGACTAAACACTTTTTTTTTTATTTGGGTCAAAAATTAAAAAGTGATAAGAGTAATGATAAGTATATTAATATTATACCCGTTGGATTGCTTGTAATTAATCATATATTTTAGGCTCGAGAAAAATCGATTTGAGTAATTCAGCACCAAGATATTACATCTTGAAATAGAGATACACTGTCACACGTAATTGGAGTGTCCCATTTTGATTTTTGAAATTATAGGTTAGATAGTAGATAAGGTAGGTTCCTTTTTTAAATGATTTAGTTGCCTTGATTTTTGGAATTTGGTAAGCGTGGACTACCATGCGTTGTTTATATATAGAAAAGAAATAAATGTTGATTGTATGGAATACTGGGATTTAGACCGAACAAATACGACATATGTGCAAATTTTTGGCCTATTAAAAATTCATTTCTTTCCCATTCACACTTTAAATGCCATACATAGCATTATTCGTTTCTATACAATTCTTTTGACTCTGCCACGCGTATTTCGAAATTGAATAAAACACGTTATTATGTTAGATAGAAAAAAGTAGAAAAATTTGATAACCACCTTTTTTGGGAGTCTGTCCCATACATAAACGTAAATCACATTTAATTGAGGTAAACGTAAATGGTAAACTTTATTTAATTGGCATCATCATTTCAATTATACTAAATTTTGAAATTTTGATATGGACCCTATAAATACCCCCATTACGTCCAAATAATTCTCATCCAAGAAAAAAATATACATATACTTCAGCACAGTAATAGGCGGAAGTAAAAATCTGAAACGCGAATTTAGTATTGCCTTTTATATTCATTCGAGCTAACAACGTAGGATACTACGTGCAAATTGATCCATCCTTTCAATATTGTAATTTTTTTGACGTGATTTATCCCATGAAATGCTAAATGACTTCCGGGTCCCAATGAAATGAAATGAAATGAAATGTTAGATCGCCTTCGGGTTTTCTCAAATGTGTTAGAGCTTTCGATTGATTAGCGATTGCTCTTGATGAAATGATGGTATGAAATGTTATGAATTTATGTTTAAAAGTTATCGTATTGTTTGGACGCACGTATCCTACTGAGTATAATCACTCACTCCTTCAAATTTTAATATTTCAGGTCAGTACGATCGACATGGATGGTAGTGAGCGGTGTGCCGGCTGCCAAATAAAATCTTTAAGGAAATGTTTACGAATAAATTTGTCAAGAGTACTTGGTGTGTTTTCTTTGTTTCTATTAATGTTCTAAAGGTTATGACACTGTCTATTTTATTTAGTATTTAAGAGTTCAAATAAATGTAAGGGTTTTAAATTTCCAATTAAATATTTCCGCATCAAATATGTTTATGGAACGATATCGGTAACACCCCAAAATTTAAGTCAATAAAATTTGGGGCGTTACAGTATCAGAGCTTAGGAATTTTTCCTAAGATAGTCCTGTAGTTTTTTCCTCTTCTATGACTTCTATGTAGTCAATGGTTTGCCTTAGGCTGAGTATTGGTACAACACTTCATTTCACACAGCAAATAAATACACTACTTTTCAGATTGTTTACGAGCGTGCTCCACCCCCAGTGTTGAAATTCGAGAAAGGTACTTCAATCATGTCATCATCGGAACAATCATTATTAGCCAGAGATGAGGTACTACTAGAGCTGAAATTGCAGCTTACACGGGCTTAGCATAGAATGAGACAGCGGGCTGATTGGCATCGCCGTGACATTCAGCTCAAAGTAGGAGAATTTGTGTATCTCAAGCTCTGTCCCTACCGACAGAAATCTGTAGTACATCTCCGGTTGCCAAGTTGTCCTCACGGTATTTTGGACCGTTTGAAGTTGAGGCATGGGTTGGACAGGTTGCATATAAGTTTAAGCTACCATCTGAGGCTGCGATACACCCTGTGTTCATGTGTCGCAACTCCTTAGGGCAGTCGGGCTGTTCAGATGCTTCTCAACTTCCACCAAAACTCACTATAGAGGGACAATTACATGTGGAACCAGAGGCAGTGTTACAGGACACACCCAACTCTTCTAGCACAAAACGGGAAGTACTGATAAGGACCTTCCGACATTTGAAGCCACATGGGAACCCTTTGAGATGATCCGACAGCAATTTCTGGATTTCCACCTTGGGGGGTTGGGGAGGGGGGAGGTAATGATAGGCCCCCGATAAAGTTCACCTACGTGAGACGAAAGAAAGGGCAGTGCACTGGGAGCATGGAGGCAAACAAGGCAGCAACTAGTTCAGTTCTAGTTAGTAGAGTACAAGTGCTTTGAGAAAGAGTCCTTTGTAAGAGAGGGGAATAAATGTATTGGAGAAAATTCGGAGGAGTCATTCATGTTCTTTTGGTTGAGTCAATTGGAGAGTCCAAGCCTCTCAAACGCCTTGGAGTTGTTCCAATTCTATTATGGATATTCAATAAAATTTCAATTCATCTTTGGTCCCATATCGTTGTCTTACAAACACATTGATTAATTCCAATTACATAAACTCTGTTAGCAGCTTATAATCTCCATTTTTGTGTTGGTCAAGGTTGGATTCCGTCGAGAGCTCTGCAGAGCCGGCTAGAGCAATGAAGCTTAGTTCAGGTACTTATCAGCATACCATCAAAATGTGAAGCGCTTTAATATTTTATATAATTGTGTTGAATATTCTTTAAATTAGTTTTAGTATATGATTTAGTGACATTCGAATTGTTAAGGATTCAAGTCGCCACAGTTTACGGTAGGGAACCACCACAAGTTCTTTCCTTTGAGAAGGGCATTACAGTCATCTCTTCAGTGCAGCAATCGTTAGTGAATCGGGATGAAATCCTTCAGTACTTGAAAGTGCAGCTAAACCACGCACAGCAATGGATGAAGCGTATAGCAAACAAGCATCGCTCTGATATTCAGTTGGGGTTGGTGAATTGGTCTATCTTAAATTACGTCTTTACCATCAAAAGTTGGTGGTTTATAAAGCATTAGTAAAACTCTATTCCATATACTACAGACCCTTCAAAGTTGAAGCTAAAGTTGGGCGGGAGGCTCGTAAATTAAAACTCTCGGCTAAGGTGTCCATACACCCATTGTTTCACGTATCGCAACACCGTAAAGCTATAGGTGCGGTCCAAACTACCTGTGAATTTCCACCACAACTGTCGCAGATAATCAGTTAAATGTGGAGCTAGAGGCGTTGTTACAGTTTAGGCCTAACATTGCGAGCTCAACGGGCCGGAAGTGCTGATAAAATGGAAGGATTGTCTAGCTTTTGAAGCCATTTGGGAACCGGTTGACAGAATCCGCCAGTAGTTTCCAGATTTCCACCTTGAGGACAAGGTGGAACTCGGTGGGGAAGTAATGATAGACCCCCGATCATGTCCGCGTATGCGAGAAGAAATAATAGGGAAAATGGGCTTAAAAAAGAGGCAATCAAGGCAGATGAGTGACCATGGGCAGTTGCAATCCGTTATTATTTTTCAATTTGAAGTCTGTTATCTTTTTTTTTTTTTTTTGGGGGGGGTGTCATTAGATGTCAATAAATATGAAGGGGAGGGGAATTAGTTTTTCATTCAAGCAAGTAGTGAGAATAGTGAGGAGAGCCAGGCCCTCTCGAATGCCTTGGATTATCTCATTTCTGTTTTCCATTTCAATTGAATAAATCATCCAGTTCTCTATCATATTCTGCCACTTCTACTACACTGCTTCATCATATTACATCTTCCTCTGATAGCAGCTACTCCTATACTAAATTCACATCTGTAATTGAGCAGGATCTCAATTACCAGTAGCAACCAGTGGAAAGGGTAGCAATTCACAGCCACAGTTCAGGGTCCTATCATATATATGCATCAGCTCATTCCAACAAGTGATTGATCTTGTCCTCCATTTCTTCTACCTCCTCTTTGGCATTCTCATCATCTGATGAGTATTATTGAGGTCTTGCACATAATCACATCTAATACTTCTGTCATGGCTTATCTAGTTGGGCTTGTATTGCTAGTGGGCTTTCCCAAAGCCCTTTACTTTTAGGTTTGTTTTATTCTATATACGTTTGTATCTCTTCATTGGGAAAGAGAGATGAATGTTGAATTGGACAGTGGCTTGCTACCGTCCATTTCTCGTCTTCCTCTTCTCTGATTTTCTTCTTCTTCTACTTCTCTGTCTACTGCTGCTGTGTTTCTTCTTCTCGGTTCTTCCTCTCTTCTTCTTGCTCTTAATCTGTTCTCCATGTCTATTTCCTTTTACTCTGCTGGTCTATCTCTTTCTCTTTATAATTATCTTTTACTTGTAATTTCCTACACTGTAATAGAATTGTCTATTAATGAGATGAAAAGCAGTTGGTATTGTAAGTTATTTTAGATTTTGTTCTTAAATTTAGGTAATTACAATTTATATTCTGTATCTTAAGTTTATAGTTGCTGGTTATTGGTTGAGTTGGTTGAAAACTGAGCTCCAACCATAACAACTTCATGCGACTCCATCCAGGTGCAAAATGTGCGTTGCAGGTCCTATGGTCTCCCTTCCTGTGTTTATGACTAGGTCTTGAGATCTTAAGCCATTCGGGCTGTAGTAGGTCATCCCACACCATCTTCACAAAGAGAGGTGCCAATTTGGCTATTAGATCATTCCTATGTTCTAATAGTGTAGCTTCTCCTACTACAAGAGCAAGCTCGTCCTGGTTGTTAGGTTGATGAAGGCGAGCTTTTGAAGGCTTCTCTATCCACCGCCCACGGCTACTTACCCCTTCATTACCCAAAGAAACGCCCAAAAAACTGCAGTTATGTAAACAAATTAAAAGTCCTCCCCCGCACATGCACACACCCCGGTACTGTTCTGCATATTGCTTTCCCCATTAAAATATTACACAAGAAAATAAACCAAATATAAAAATTATGCCTAAAGAGGTTAAAAAAATGTAAGAATGAGAGTAAAAGCATTTAAAATTGAACCTGCTAGTTTTGTAATTGAAGCAAAGAGTGAGGAGGGCCAAGAATACATGACATATCCCGCAATTTCACCTCCAATTTCAGAGTAAAGCAAGCCACAGTTCTTCTTTCTGAGCTCTTCTTCGAATGTTTTTGCAAGCGATTCATGTTTTGGGAAGATCTTTTTCTCTATTCTTACTATTTCCCCCAACATTTTTGGCCAATTGGCCGAATTCCTGTGCAATTCCACTATTTCCCAATTTGCCATGCGACGGCTCCAGACTGCTACAGAGCAAATGAAATTCTACAAAACCAGGAATGTGAAAGAAATTGAAAGCCCCAATCGTACTTCTGGCCCTATCTCCCCACGATTAAGGTAATTACATCTGCAGTAACTTAACTTTCTGAAAAATCTTAATTGGGTCATTAAACTTTAATTTATCTTAATTTAATTACAGCATTTCAATTTAATTTCAAATTGGGTCACTGTCCCAGCTAAAATTTTGATGGATTTTAAAAAATCATAAATCTTATGAATTTTGTAAGTTTGAATAGATATCCACAAAATTCATAAAGAATTTCATTAAAAATAGTGAAATTTTTTTTAAAAAAAAATTGTTATATGTGTTTTTAAATTTGAAATTCATTCAAATTTTTTTAGTAATTTTTCAGGATAACTAAATTTTGGAAAATTTCATTAAAATTCATTAAAATTTCAATTACGATACTTAAATTTTAATGAATTTCGTTAAATCTATTAAATTTTAAATTGGGAATTTCTAAATTTATAAAGGACTTTTAAAATCCATCAAAATTTTAGTTGATGATAACCCGTTAATTTTGCCCTCGTTTGGCCCCCATTTTTGTCAAATTTTAATGGTTGGAATGGTATTTTTTTTTTAAAATGTGATTGAAAAAGAATGAAAAGTGTTTGATTTACTTGTAATATTATTTTATGGAAAATTGTGTGGTCGAAAATAAGAGAGAGAAAAAGAATGAGAATGAGAATGGTGGTCAAACGGGACTTAATGCCGATTAGTAGAATATCAATTAATATGACTGTTAACCAACTAGTAATTTTTTCAGTGAAAGTAAATTAAAGTTTATTGATCCAATTAAGGAAAACTAACATTAGTAACCCAATTGAAATATAGGTAAGAGTTTACTGCAAATGAAATTTACCCCAATCATGCTAATTCTACAACTAGTCAAATCAATGGCCAGATCTTTACGATAAATACTTCAACCGTAAAGAATTACTACGATAGGACGGTCATATCTCCACGTGATGCAACCGTCCAATGTCGAGACACCACCTCGGTAGATGGCCTACATATCTTGGTGTGTGGTGGGCCACCCTTTCAAGGTGGCCCTTCCTTACAGGACGGTCGCACCATGTACTACCAAAGTATTTCTCAATTTTTATCCCTCACACATTGTCAAACTAATAGTACAAATTCATTATACACCTAACTTAATTTCAATTATGGTGTTCTCTATTTAAGCTGTTCTCTATTTAAGCTTCAGTTGTATTAAATTTCTATTGTGGTTTTGAATTGATTTTCCGATTCCTGATTATTTCAAGGATTATTTGTAAATTGTGAAGAGAGTGTACAATAGGAATCATGAATTGGAGGTAGAGATACTCTCATGGTTCGTGAAATCTCCATATGAATTTATTGCTCGATTAACGCGTTTGAATGTGTAGTAATTTACATTGAGGTATATTTAGTTATTATATTCAAGTATATTTGATTTATTTGAGAGAAACTACAAAACATCTTGGATAAATTAGGTATCAAAATGAGAGGCGAAGATAAAACAAAAAGACTACGACAAAGTTAAATCAACAATTTAATTCAGTATGCACGAGATTCATGGGGTGGTTTTTACTTCTTATTGTATTGCTTTTCGGGATATGTACACTTACGTTTTTCATGAACAATGTTCCACCTAAGTTTCCTTTGAATGATGTACGTGTGACATGCAGAGTTAACTCAGAGTTAGAGGACAAAATTTAACCATGCAAAATTATTTCGCACGTGAAATATAATAATATCAATTTTCTATAGTTTATTAAATTGTTATTAACGAGTTATACTTATAAAAACACCATATAATAACTTTATTTTCAATTTAATCAAATGCATTATTTTAATATAAACAATGTCGTATAATGACCTCAAATAACGGTAAAACATAATAATACCATCTTCTTCTTTTTTTAATAATTTTAGTTCTCAGCGAGGGCCTCACCTTCGTCGACTTCGGCCTTCAACCAAGTTTGCGAATGTCGTGCATCCTTCATCATGCAACATAACATAGTCCAGCAACTACACCACAAACTTAAAAGCCCGTACATTAAATGAATAACTATATATGGGATTCGAGCACTATTGAACTATACTATTTTTCTTCATGAAAACATAAGCAACTTTAATCGAATAAATAACACCTCACTCTAACAGCTATTGTCGTCACCTTATCCAGCCAAGTAGGTCAAGTTTGTATCTTTGGTATGTGATTTATGTAACAATTCTCTACCGTCGTTGCCTTATCATGTCAATTAGGTCAAGCCTAAACCCTTTGTCAGATTTGTGGACAACAAAATGGTATTAGCATACAATGGTTATGATTGATTGACACCTTCAACAAGTGGCCATCCACACAGAAGAGGCTACATACAATTTCCTCCATCCTACTGCCAACAATCATCCTAAAACTCACACAATGTGCTATTTCAAAGATAATACAAGTTAAGAATCACAAACTACAACTTTGATATTATTATCACGGAATCCCCCAAAATTGACCCCCTTTTACACTGGAGACTTGCATCTAAAGCCCCTTCTAAACTCTTCTACTTATTACTCCAACTTGACTGTCGGTGTGCACTCGACCTACTCCACCAACATCGGATTGCTAATAGTTTGTACAAGTGTGCAAGAATCAAGTTCGTGTGGACGTGAAAGACATTGGAATCTATTGACCATGTCAGAGATACAAAATTCGAAGTCAATAATAAATATCACTTTTTGGAGATGAGGTACCAATCTTTAGATGTAACAATGTTGCATAAAAGCGCAAGCAATTTGGAATCTAAAATAAAAAAGAGGAACAAAGAAATCGCATCATCTCAAGAAAAAACAATGGTAGGATTCTATAATGGTTGCGTTGGTAGGAATTTCAAATGAATACACGATGTCAATTGCACGTCCAAACAGACTACCAAGGCATGACTCCGACCATAAATGTGTGAAATATTGACAATCAAACGAACCCTAAGTTTTACTCAAATATATTATTCTACCGTAATATTGTTTTTACTGTTCAGGAGAAATCAAATTGAAGCTCGACAGCGCCTTCCTTAATTATTGTGAATTCGCTATGTTCTTCTTCCTGTGATTTTAACAATAAAATCTATAAAGAACTCAACAAAAAAAGACACATAAGATTGAACTACACTATTTTGTAAGAGCTAAAATTAATGTATCATTAGTTAAATTAATATAGCTTTATAAATATTAAAAAATTGAATTATAGTATGAAACACAAGAAACGATCAGAATTGAATGGAACCGAATCCGTAAGGTTCCATAATTAAATTTGAACTCAACTGTTCTACTTACTAAATACCCGAAAATTTTGGATTAGAACCGAATCAGACTATGCCCATCCCTAGAACAGACACTCTTAAGACAAGAAGCAATGCCATCTGCATTTCAGGAAGCCTTAATAAATAAATAAATAAATAAATTGTAATAATGTAGCTGTTCTTCAAGAGACATACAGAGTCCATTTGGTGTGCCCAAAATATCTTAAGCACACTTAAATATAGGCTAAGATCTAACCATATGGCAGTCGTGTACTCCGCCAAACGGTATACGGGCAAAAGGAGGTTGGGGATAAAAATCTGATTTGTAACATATGCCCCCAACCAGATAAACATACTTGAAAAGAGTGAACTCTTCAGATACAAATATGCATTCTAGCATAACAGTGCAATCCATCTGTGATAAGCTATTCAGTAAAAAGCAATAATGGATCAAGAAACAGTTGATCTATTTGTACATAACACTAACGTATTCCCCAGTCAGATAAACTTGCTTGAAAAGAGTTTAAACTCTTTGGCAAAAAAAGTTGCATTCTAGCATATAACGGTGCAATCCATCTCAAATAAACTTGTATCTATCTGCAATAAGCTATTCAATATAAACCAGCAATAGATCAACAACAATTCAATTTTATTTGTGCCAAACACTAGCATATGCATGGGTCAGGGAATATACAGAAAATTCATCGACAAAGGTCAACTGTTTCTACACATATACAACTCAATGAAGTACCTCATTGTTTTCAGAATCACAGCATTTACACCACAATACATGCAAGGTTATGAGTTCTACATGTCAATGTCGTTAGTTAACTGAAGCCTTCAAAATCTCAGCAACCAGGAGCCTGAATTTAGTCATTGGCACGATAGAAGCGTAGCAATTTGAGTGAAACTACATTCTCCTGGAAAAAAAGCAAGCGAATGAAAATTAGTAACATCCATGAAGGTTTTTCACCCTCGTAAAACATCAGATGTATTCATTTCCCAAAAACAGAATAGAGAAAAAAATTTCAATCATCGTAACTATCTTCTTCAGGATAAAGTTGATCTAAAACTAGGTCAGCTTTACCTGACACATATCCTCATATTGAGGAGGGAAATGTAAGCCCATTGAGCAATTCTGCAACACCTCGGGATACTTCATCCATGCTTTATGGGCATCATTTAGTTTGATCTTATACTTAAACATCTGAAATGAAAGAGGAGTCTTTAGCATAAAATGACACCTAATCCCTTAGAACTAAGAAGACTAACTTCTTTCTGCTAGGTGCACCGCTCCAAACCTTCTTTCCTCAACGTTTCAGGAAACAAAGATAAAATTACAATATGTAAAGAGAAAAGACTAATATTGACAAAAGGGAACATCCATTCAAACTAACTGCAATGAAGCGAAGGTTTGGGATAAGAAAATCAAACACCAGCCAAAATTACAAACCTCAGAAAGTGGTACAGTTGGTTTCTCCCGCTCCTCCCCATTGATGTATAAACCAGTGCCCTGGCATTCTGGGCAGAAAACAGAGTATATTTGCTTGCTTGTTGCTTTTGCCTCATCTTTCTTCCCCATTTCACCATCCTTGGCTCTAACCCTTCTCCGGGATTTTCCTTTCGCTTTAGGAGCAACTGACTGATTTACATAAATTTCATTCTCACACAGAAGTATCCAGTGAATGAGGCAGGATATATGGAAAACGTGAAAAGCCTACAGAAACACAATTATAAG